TTGCTTCTCACTGGGGTAGCGCATGGTGGACCTGGTTGGCCTAGCTACAGGTGTGTTGCTACCGCTCCTGATCGGCCTCATGGTACCCGGTGTACCGGCAAGGAAACCGTGTTGTGGAGTCGCGTTGAGGGCACCAGCGCGAGATGACTTTGGGCCCTTCCATGTCTTGCGAGCCATCCTCGCTACACGATGGCAGACTCCATTCGGCGGTGTAGTGCTCGGGAGGGCTTTGAAGGGTGTCACCGTAGGGTCTTGAAGGTACTTCATGTAAGTCATCCACAAGTGGTGGTCCATGTCCTCGCTGAAGGTGGCTCGCAACTTCAGCTTTGTAGCAGAGCGAGACTGTTGGGTACCCATCGAAGGTGAGCTTGGTCGTTGGGCCTTGTTTGTGGGTGGGTAGAACGCGAAAGGGTCTGATGATTCATCTTCAGGGCTCGTGCAGCTGCCGCCTCTGGACATGAAGGAGCCAATGCTATCGCAGGACGAGACGGATGAGTCTGAGAAGCCTGACGATGAGGTGGGTCTGCTAGATGTTTCACTCTGGCTGACATGTGGGACGTCGGACCAGTCCTGAGTTCCCTCGTAGTGGCTGATTGTTCGCACTTGGGCAGCGGGAGTCTTGGGTGGGGAAAGCATACGAGGGAAGCTGAACCCTGGAGACAAGAACGCGTCGTTTTGAGGTAGTGAGTAGGGTGGTAGCAGGTTGGAGGTTTCCGACATGACTTCGGGAGCCTCAATTGTGGGGATGGGTCGCTGGTCCATGACGGCGTCCATGTCGTCGTTGTTCACGACGAGGGTGGCACGGCGGCGACGCACCTTGAGCACCTGTCGAGGCGGCGGCGGCGGTTGCATCTGCTCGGGTTGCGGCTCTGGCTCGGGAGTCTGTGGAGCCGGGCCGTCACGGTAATGGAACATGAAGTTCCTGGGTAGGGTAGTAGATAGGTTGGGGCGTTCGGCGTCCATGTTGCTAACGTTCCGATGTCGTGTTTCAGGATACGATTGTCTTTGACCACAACAACAGGTCGACTTCAAAGACACTGCAAGGAGGAACGGCAGTTAAAACACGACAAGCGATCAATGCATCCGGTCTGAGGGTGTTCCGGTTGCTGTCGATGTGGCTTGATTATGCAGGGCGGTGGTGATAGGTCTCGGGACCCAGCAGGCAGGTGTTTGGTACTCTGCGAACGCGACTGTGCGGCTGCAGGTTGGTTACACGTGCAAGCAGGACGGCTGCGCCTTGATAAAGCGGGCGTAATGTCGCAAGATGTCGCGCACTGTCGGAAGTAGTGGCAACGGACGATTTCAGTGTCGCAGAAGCTCTGTCGACACGAAGAATGCGCGAGTGCTCTTATCGGCGACGATGGCGCGTAGCTTCACGTCGCGACAAACAGCTGTCAACGGGCGGATGCGCGATTAGCAATGGTCGAAGACGATGCGCAAAGATCCAAAGATGCGTCGCAGGACGCGTGAATTATCGTGAAGGGTGGCGATGGCGGGTGTTGGCGAGATATGGGAGTCGTGGGTCGCGATGAGAGGAGCGGGAGCGTGGGCGGAAGCGAATTGGGCGCCTTAGTCCGCGTCCAAGGAAAGCGCAAGCGAAAGACAATATTCGTAAAAGACGTAAGGAAACGGTCGTCAGGAAGTCGCGTGGAGCGCACGGGAGTGCGACGAGCGAGAGTCGGCTCGGGATTATCGTGAAAGTCGTGATGGTGAAGGTGATGTGCGGTGAGGTTCGCAAAAGTCGGCTGACGGTTGCTGCCCGGCTAGTGCGAGACAGCGGACGGGCTTAGGCCAAGATCGTCGATAGAACCTCTGCAAACCCACCAAGTGCCCCGAGCCCCATACAAAATCAAACACTCCGCATCCAACACTTTGCGCAATTTGCTCGCATGAGGCCTCATGCGATGCTCTGCGTCTTTTTGCATCGCCTCCCGATTCTGGTGCTCCCACGCAACACGTGAAGCTGTTGCCGCAGACCGTCGATTGCGAAACTGACGCGTCTCGACGCGCTCACTCTCTCGGCCTAACCGCTTTCGATGCATCATGGCCCGTGCAATCATACCTTGATCGTGGCGCTCTCTTTCGACGGCCCCTGCATAGAGACCTTGTTTTTCTGCAAGCACGAACACCTGTCACGACTTTTTCATCCAGTCGCCCGCTGCCAACATGCTGCAAGCTGGCAAGCGGCTTCGCGACATGCATAACGGTCCCTCCCCGTTGTCTTTGCTTTTCCCTCCCCGCTTCTTCCCATCCACTTCTTCTGCCGCGTCGTCGACATGAATGAGTGACGGCGAGCAGATTCCTGCCACCTGTGCACTACGCACACGGCTAAGGGCACACTGGAGACCCCAATTCGCTACGACTCCAACCCTCTTCTCCACAGTGGAGCCATGGCCATTGCTCTACAACACAACAACAGCACGAGTCATTACTACCTCGCTGTACTACGTACTATAGCCAATGCTTCAGCCGTCAGCTCCGTTCGTCTGGCTAGAGCGACTCCAGTGAAACCCTGACTTCCATTCATTCAAATTCATCCCCTGTTGGCATACACATCTGCATAGACGTTAACAAGCGCGACCCTTTTTTGCGCCCCAGCCCGTCCTCCAGGACTCGGAGTGCCGAAACGTTGTGCTTCCCGCGCTTGGCTGCGAAAAGGGTCTGGATCGGCAGCTCATCACACCCACCAATATCTGGCTGTTCCGAAATGCACGTGTTTCGCTCGATTTGGATGTCCAGTCGACCAGCCGTCTTAGGCTTCGAATTTTCATTGGCTGACTTTCGCTGGCTTTAACACTGCCGAGCACCATGAGGGTCTGAAAGTGGATTCGAGCCGCTCAACACAGCACGAGGCCTATAATGCAGCCCGTTCTAGGAATACCAGTGGCTGTACTATGGGCCTTAAACACCTTCAATAGTCGATAGTGCGGGGGCTTCATGTCCTCGTGAACAGCTTCGACGCCCACGCTCGCTTCTAGCAGATCAGGCGATCATCGAACATGTATTAGCTCATCAGGTAATGAGAACATACTTCGCGACGTGCGCACCACATGTTAACTGTAACAGCTGTTATGCTGCTGATGCTGCTGATGCTGCTGATGCTGCTGATGCTGCTGATGCGCATTTCTGGGACATCTGCTGCTTACAAACATGATACGCATTACCCAAGCAACTCACACTGTGGATTGCTTTTGGGGAGATACCAAGATGGATGTCAGGTCATAGCAATACGATTCTCGTGCTGCGAAACAAGACGTGTCGATTGCTACCAACCATCTGAATCGCAAAGTATAGAAGCGTACAAGCAAGACTGCCTTGCAACTTATCGCCCATAAACAAACCAGAGGACATCTTCCTGATATGTCAAAGGAGACGCGATGGAAATGTAGCCTTTCATACCCCGATATCGAGCATGTTGGTGTCGCAGCGATGCTGTTTGTGCCTAGGCAGCATCATGCCTGCGCTCCGCCTCTACAACGTCCTGCAGGGAATACGATAAAGGCGTTGTCAGTAGAGATCTAACTCGACGCCACAAGCATGATGGTGGTGGCTTGGTCGCCTTCTCCGCTTGGCTCTCATCACCCGTGGCATCAGCCTCTGTTACTCAGCCTTGTACGCCAACGCACATAAAGGCAGCGCAGCATCTCTTTTCCGGTCTCACTTCAGGGATCTGACGTCTTGACAGGATGATTCCTTTAGACCATCTCGTCGACAAAACGGTGATACAGATACAGACGGTAGGTATCCCGCATTGTTTGACGTGCATTATGCTAATGACTTCAGACGTCGGTACTTACACCACCTTTTGAAGCGACACTAAATCCATCAGCGACTGTTCAGTCTTCCTGTGTCAATGATGCCCTGAAAGGTCCCAGCTTGCCTTCTGAATCGACCTATCAATATGCACTAGAGTCGTTGCCGACGCTCGTTGGTGATTCCCACGGACTTTTCTTCGTGGATGCTGATATATTGGCCTTTTTACGGCGTGAATTGAACCTCCAGCGGCTGAACAGAATCCACGGCCATCTATGGCTCGCAGGACGACCGACGCGGGCACATCCGCTGCATCGATATCGATCGATGGGATACGAGATCCTGGGTACATAACAGATGGATCTTCATCTTACCGAGGCCCCAGGATCTCCGCGAGAGCTAATGGTGAAGCCACTTCCTTACTGGATATTATCTCACGAGTTTTGGTCGAAACATATCTGCCGCGAATATTGGTTGTGGCAGTCAGCCGCGGGGCTATTGACAAGTTACGCTTGGCTAATAACGACATCCCTGGACTTTCAAGTCGCGCACGATCTTACTCTTCTACCAAAATCCATCACTTGGGGTGAGTGGAAACTCTTCATTAGTAGCTGCTTCGGTGACCATATCGACATCAACACTCTACAACAAGTGAGCATGTCTTGCTGGAATGATAGGCCTAAATACTTACAGGCCGTGCCGCAGGTGAACAAACGATACCAATTTGGCGTACTACGTATCGATCGGCTCAATTTGATTTACCGCCTCAAGTACTTCAGAACCCACTTTCGGCGCGGGTATTTGGACGGATATCACCCCTACAAGCCGTTCTTGGAGAGAAAGTTCGCCTGTGCTTTGATCCCTTTTGGTGTTTTCCTGACAGTAATCCTATCATCAATGCAGGTTGGTATAAGTCTACCTGCTCTAGGAACCAATCAAACGTTTCTGGACGCCTCAAACGGATTCGTCATATTCTCAATGACATGCGTGCTCGTTGTGGTCTCTTCGGTACTCGTTTACCCAGTTCTCTCATTTTTCATACTGATCGCGATTGATTTCGTGTACTCAGCTCGTGGACAACACAGACGAATGCGTCAAGCCAGAAGAGCGGCAGAAGAACATGCGTAATATTCTCTCAATTGTACCAAAACATACAAAAAGTTCCCCTATAGTAGAAATCTAAGCTATCTCATCATCTAGTGTTACATTGTTCCTCCGACCTTCTATCCATCTAGTATATCCCGCGTCTACAAACCAAGACCAGAGTTGAAAGCATCAGCAGCGGCTTGACCTGTAAGGCCTGAAGCAGCAGCCGCAGCATCATCGCAGGTGCTGACAGCCGCGGCGTCTACATCGCACTTGTTGGACATCTGCGAGCAGATGAACTGGGAGATGATGTCGATCTTCTGAGCTGAGCCGTGGTTGAAAGTGGCGAGATCAGTGGGCTCGAAGGCCTCCTCCTGGCGGCCGTCGGAGGGGAGACCAAAGGTGATGGTAGGGTCGCAGCCGCCGAACGAGGCGGCACCCGCACCGGAAGCAGCGTCACCGGCAGCGGCGTTGTTACCAGCAGAGGCGTTGTTACCAGCAGAGGCGTTGTTACCAGCAGAGGCGTTGTTACCAGCAGAGGCGTTGTTACCAGCAGAGGCGTTGTTACCGGAAGCAGCGTTGTTGCCAGCGGCAGCGTTACCAGCAGCGGCGTTGTTGTTGCCCGCATTGGCATTGTTGTTGGCGTTACCGACGTTGGCAGCAGCGTTGTCGGTAGCGTTACCAGCGGCGGCAGTGGCGTTGCCAGCAGCAGCTCCACTGACACCAGCGACCGCAGCGGCGATCTCATCTTCAGTGAGGTCATCGACACGAAGGTTCTGGGTGTTGATGCATCCCGCATCATCGTTCTCGTCGTCGCAAGTGTTGCCGGCACCGGTTGGGTCGCCAATCTCGCCGGGCGCGAAAGTCGAGGCCTCGTTGGCCATCAATGGGTCTCCACCGACAGCGGCAATCTGGCGAGCAAGCTCTTCAGCAATTCCCTTGTTGAGCTCTGCAGCTCCATCGCTGGCAGGGTCCTGGTGCTGCTGGAGCGCAGCGATCTCAGGGTTGACAGCCTGGATGGACTCGCAGGGAACGGAAGCCAGGCCGACAGAGCCTGTGTTGCGTTCCAGAGCACGGTAGATGAGAGCCATGGTCATGCCCTCGACATCACCGGCCTCCTTGGCGTTGGTGAAAGCCTGGTCAGCTACGGCTTGCTGGAGGCAGTCTACAGACGATTAGCTTGATGAACATGTGTATTGGATCCCAAATGACTTACCGGCATCAGCGATGTCTCCAGCACCATCAGCGGCAGCAGCAGCTCCGAGGAGAGCAAAGACACCGTCCTGAATGTCGTCTGGGTTGTTCTGGAACAACAAATCGTTGACGGCAATGATGACGTTGCGGTGAGCGTGTTCCTGGGGAACCTCACGCTTGGTCTTGAGGGTAGCCGGGCGGGCAGCCGCGGCACCGATGAGAGTAAGAGCAATGAGAGAGTTCTTCATGATGAATATCGATATCGTTCCTTTCGGTCGCAATCGTAAAAAATAAACAAGAATAGGGTCTAAGTAGGGTATATAGCGAAAGTGGACCGGCCTATCGATTCTCCAGGAACGATGAAAAGAAGGTAATAGAATGAACGACTCGAAGGACGATGAATGAAAGACTTGCTGAGATGGATGCTGCTGATGCTCTTCCATGCAGCGCAAGGCATTGTGCCTTATATACAGACTAAGTCCTACCAGTCATGCTATGCAGTTCTTCGCTTCAAGCGCTCGCTGCCTGACAGGTGTCAAGCCTCCGTAGCGGGAGCCGCCATACCTGCCCGTGCATCGAGACGAGACTGCATGATGGCTACCCCTGGATAGAAGGTGAAGACCCTTCCGAAGTGGTTGCCGTGCAGTCTCGCGATCGTGGCGATGGCTTGCTAACCTGGTGAGGCGCGGAAGGCCGTTAGGTGGATCCGCGCTAAGAGGTTCGGGAAGCCTGGATGAGACGTTGGCGAATCTTCGGAACGCGGTTTGCTTCATCCACCCCATCAACAACGTCGCTGCCTGGAGATCACGGTATATGTGTGTGAAGCTATCGCGCGTAAGTCACCAGTGTATTTTTGCGTCTCAAGACTTGCTTCAGCGCGACGTCGCGCCCTCGCTTGCCTTCAGAACGCGTGCATCGAGGGAAGGAGCGCGAAGGTACTGAGATGGACGCGGACTAGCTGAATCACGTTTGCACAGGAGTACCACCTGCAGCTGTCATGATAGAACATTTCTCCTGCGGATTCTAGCTTCCACCTTCGCCCCGCGACGACGCTCGAACCGGCACCTCCCATCCGAAGTACGACCAAACGACCATAAGGGCGGACAGGGAAGGATTCTCGGTACACAAGACCCATGACACTTCCGTATACTCCTTCGATGGTACAGAGCACGAGTACGCTGTATGGACAACATTCGGGTTCGGCCTACCCGCTATCCCCAATAATCCAGACGTATAGAATGCCAAGACGCACACCGTGTGTATCAGAACTACGATCCTTCATGAAGAGAGTCGATATTAACCGAGATCGCCCAGCTGAAGCCCGAAATCTATCACGAATGCTATGCGTGCGATGTTCGGGATTTCATGTTTCCGACGAGCGACCGACAACCCACGTGTGTAGAACAACGCCACATCCATATGCCTTGGATGTTAGGGTAGCCTGGCTATGTTTTTATTGCGTCATGGGCAATCTCCCGTCTGTTTTGCTATGAGACATCTCTGATAGTATCCGGACGTCTTACATTCTCGCAACGGCGTGCGTCTCATATGACCCAAACCAGGCAACATGATCTACCCCAGGGTGTAGCCACAGCTTGAATCTCACAGCGCTTCCGAATCACTGTGGCTCCATCATCGTAAGTCTGAGGCGGTATATTCGGAAGAAGCATACCAACTCCCGGGAGTGTTCTTGCTCGACGTACCAAATTCAGCCTTGTCGTTGCCAGCCAACGCGTACCCACAATAAAACCGCTCCGTCTCTTGGCTGTAGCCGTCTTAGTTGGAAGGGCAGTAGGAGCGGCTAATCACTTCATCTATCCAGATTATCGTCACATTCGTTCAGTGTCGCACCCTCCGTTCCGCCGTGTCCAACCTCCAGACGACCCACACCCACTCGAGACGAGCCGTGTCCAGCCTGGTGCCACACGACAATCAGACACCTCTGTGGCTCACATCTTTTCCCGCTATCGCAATAGCGGTCCGCAACGAAGCTATGGCCAAGAAGAAGGCGCTTGTCATCTCAGGTCCGATGGATGCTAAACACGTCGGGGGTGTGAATGTACTAGGCGGCAGCGGTGCCAGCCTTAACGATTACTTCCACACCACAGCGATCCAACCAGATGAGAGACCCTCACATACCTTCGTTGCTACTGGGAAGACTGAAGTACCGAGACGGGCAGACACCGTGGGCGGAACACTTCGACGATCAAGTGTCTCCCTGAGCAGAAGTCTCTCCAAACTGAGGCGCAACTCTTCCTCGCATCATACTGAAACAACGCAAGTCGGTGGCAAAAACAGTGAGATGGACAGTCAGTTCGGGAGATCGGACAGTACAAGCAGGCCTTTAAGAAAGCAGTCGAGCATATCACGACTACGGCAGAGGGTTGGACTAGACCACGAACTGTACGATGCAGCGCCGAAGTCGAAGCCACCCACTCCCGAACCCCGTTTTCTGCCAGAACTGGTATTCCAAGATGATCTGCAACTGCGAGATACCAGAGCCCTAGCGCGTCTCACCACGACTTCTTCCATCTACTCGACTCCAGATCCTGGTCCTCTTCAGACAACGATCGTACGCAAACAAGTGCCTCTCATGACGCAGCGACGGCCTTCGCCTCTCGACGGCCAAACCTCAAATACAAGCGTGCAGCCCCCCGCAAGAACCAAACGCGTAGATTCGGGCACCGCGATTGATCTCAAGCATATACCAGTGCAGGAGCGACCAATACCGTTCAAGGAGATCATGGCGGTGACCACCCTTGATGAGCGCATGGCCATGTATAAGAAGACGCGCGAATACTGGGCGCATGCAGAACATGGGCTGGTAGAATGGACCGCACGCGCTGCGGGACCGAAAGCGCCCATCACACGGTCGTGAAGGTGTAGGTTTCTTTCGTCTATTCCCTTTGAGTTTGCATTCTACGTCTCCATTTTCATATGATACCCCATTCACGACCGGCCATTGTATTCATAGTTCGTGTTCCGCGCTGGTCGCTCTGATGCGCTTTCGTCTGTAGTTCTCTTGACGCTTTCATCCAATTTTGCGCGATTATGAAGGCGCCACACACGTATGTGGGTTGTAAGTCTGAACCGACCCGAGATAGTGTTAAAATGCAACATCCGATAAAATTCTTCCGCACTTTCATTCTATTGCAGACAAAAATGGTTAGCGCCTGCTCCATCCATAGACGCACCTGGGCAGTGGCCACTCTCCAATAGCAGTAGCTCTCCACCTTGTGGGTACTCAGTCCTTACCACACCGTCGTTCCCATCGTTCCCATCTCCCATCAGGAAATATCTGTGCCGGTATCGCGCACCCCGAGCAGTCATTCGCCTTGATCAAAATGTCACGGAATTCTATGGGCCTTTTGGCCTGCGCGGCATCTGCATCTGCAATCGAGGACTTCCCATTGGATTGACGAGGTCTGTATACCGGAACGATCCACTGCATCCGAAAATATTCAAAGTTGTCCGGTAGCGAAAAAAATGCTCGCCAAGTAGACACCGATACTGGTTACGAAGATATTTCGCGATTTTGAAGGATTCCTCATGCGAAAGCCTATGTCGACCAAAACCAATACCCCAACGCACGAGCAGCCGAACTCCAAATTTCGATATCATGTTAGTTAACGATAAGAAGAAATGTGAGGAATCAGGGCTGGCGACGGTGGCACTCAAGCTTACATGCTCTAGCATCCCATTCTTTTACGACAATGCAACTCCTGCGCAGGCTCAAACCGAAGCCGAAAGGTCCGCATAGGCTCGGGGGTCTCAGCCCGGAAATCCTAAGCTTGATCATTGAACACTTCTGTACGAATGATCTTCGCGACCTCGTCAACCTGTCCCTAGTCTCACGCGGGCTCTACCTATTCGTCGCATCCTATCTATACCGCGAGGTCAGGATTGATGTCGGAAGAGCATCCCACAACCGTCTACTACAGCGCTTGGCGGGACCCAACTGTCGTCTTGCGGAGAAGATAAGAACCCTCGGTATCACTGACACTGAGAGGGATCTTACGATACGATGGGATTGCCTAGCTACCCTGCTCACTAGGCTTAAGTATCTACGGGAGTTTGACTGGACCGGCCCTATAGCACTGCCGTACTACCTCCTTGAGATGATAGCTTCTCAACACCCTCAAGCTCATCTGAACATATCCGTTTGGAAACCCATTCCCAGGCATAGGTCAAATGTGGGTCGTTTGAATGGCCATGTCCTAACTCACCGGATTGGTCTCCAAATAAACACATTCGTCTATCGCTACCATGGTGTACAGAGACTCACCGCCGGCTTCAAGGAGAATCTCGTTGCGTGGTTGGCGAGGAAACACACGCTAATGACGCTGGCTATCTTCAACGAGGATCCAGAGGATATCGAGGCTCTTCCACAGAGGCTAGAGTTATTTCGCAACAGCAGCTTTCCTTGTATCGACGAGCTATTACTTCATACTACCATTTTCACCTGCGGTGAATTGCAGCTGTGGGCTTCGAGAGGAAAGTGGGACAAGCTTTCTCTTCTACATCTACACAATATACATCAGCTTCGTACGTACCTTTGTTTTCCTCTACAAACTTGCTCATGTACTAACCCGAAAATGCAGGGCACTTCATCGGCCTGGCCCCTCAGCTCGAGCACCTCAGTTTCCATTTCGACTATCGCATAGACACCAGTGACGACGAGGCTAAGCTAGTCAAACTATTGAAAGCCAATCCTCTGTCTCAACTACTTCATGTTTCTTATAGCGGTCAAGCGCAGTTTACTCCACAGCCTCTCTCACACACCCGTCGCGCGGTTCCTTTCATAATACTGGAATCAAATCCCAAACTCAGGAGATTACACTTGACCCGAGAGCTCGATTGTCCGCGTGGAGTTAGGAAGCTCTTCACGCCAACTGCGGAAGAAATACGAAGGGTTCGGATACTCTGCCCCGATCTACAGGTACTCAAACTCAACGTCGATCTATCCGCGATAACTTCAGAGTGTGCAGCTGTGTTCGCAGAACTCTCTCTGTTCAAAACCCCGATCGTGCTGGTATTGTACATGCGACTACAGTTCTTCCACTCGAAACGCTACGGAAAATTTTGCAGGATGTGCAAGATCCTCTTCGACACCGTAGTGAAAGAGCGTAGAGACCTGGGTCTTCCATGTCAAAGGCCTTTCCGAATGCAGTTCCTCGCTATGAGGATAGATAGACATTCTCAGGCAGAATGGGTCCAGTCTAATTGCACCTTCCAGCTCAGTGACTCT